GGTGACAATTTTCTGGACATCTTTTCAGGCTCGAGTAGTATGCATCTTGAAATTTCCAACACCATCTGCATTGGCCAGGTGTGCGATGTTTTATTAAAGAAAAGTTCCAGGTCACCCCCGCAAGCCATCCAAGTAATGATTGCCGCCCAGTTTTTGCTACATTTCGGATGCCGGAGGCCATCACTAGCAATGACTAGGTGCTATCATATATACAGATTGGCTTAGAAAATAATATCGATTTAAGGAGTGTAAACCTGTTCAAACAAACTTTTTGTCTTTTGGCAATTGGAACTGCAAATGTAGCCTCACATCCAACCACAGGTATGGGCTCTTAATAATACAAAACAGTTCCGTCCTTTGTTACAGTCACATAATCTATGTTTATTGCCTTCACTCTTCAAGGTCAAAGTTATCAGAACTTACTCTTCGCATGTCAGCGGAAAGTACATTCATGGTCCTCTTCAATAAAGCATAAAAATCGGTAGGTCACTGCTGAAACAAAAAAGTTTTTCAATCGCTCCGTCAGACCATGTCCTCAGAAAATGTCTAAAATCTTGTGCGCCCATGACCGTGACCTCCAATTTCTGGCACAGTGGTGCTTTTCCTACATGATGCTTATACACCTGCTACTCACGACCTAGGTCAAGCCGTTTAGCATTTGTGCTGCAATTCTGCATCTATCTCCTATACTTATATATTAAGGTGGGAAATTGGAGTGAATGTTCCCCCTTCTTTTACACCTCTTGACCTTTGACCTTTGACCCCCAGCTTCGACATCCCAACTCGTTTTGACGATCCCCCCCAACGGGCCGAATATCGTGACCGTACGTCGAGCGGTTAAGATTTGTGCCCAACTGTTGACAGACGGACGGACGGACGGACGGACGATCATGCGATTCTACAAGCTGCATCTGACTATGTCAGATGAGCTAATAAATACCCATTTATAAACACCCTCAGTTTATAGTATATTCTTTATAAGTATAAGTATTCCAATATAAAGTTTTTACAAATATGAAAAGTGAATATAGTTTTACCAATGGCCGTGTTATTAATAATACACTTAGTAGTTAGTACACGTATTAAATTAGCAATAGATCAAACTTTATTTTCAAGAAAGAGAAGAGAGGAGACATTTAGTCATATTAGAGTTGTATTCTTTACTATTTCGCAATTAACGTTTCCTAATATAGTAATACAATGTAAAATATCTGTTCATGTGGTGATGCAACACAAGCAGCAGAATGATCTACCTGAGCACACGGAGTATTTTTTCAAGTTCTCGGACATTAGTGCTCTTTCCTATGTAGCCATAGTCAAGATGATCCAATGGAATATCAAGTTTCTCTCTCAGTGGTTGGTCTAGTTGCGAGTGATACCCTTGTATTGGCTCTTCTGTCACACTCATTATGCCTGATCAGATCGACAGATGCTTCAACAGATGGACTTAAACCTGAATTGTAAACTTGCCACTTGGTCGTGCCGAGCTTGCAAACTGATAATATATATCTAGAAATATAAATTCTCAATGTCAATTACCAGGCAGATGTACTCACACGTCACATGTCAAGGCACACCTGCATCACCACGATCTAGCTCTAGTACTATAGCCCACGTACAGTTGCCACAGGGCTATAGAACATTTTATGCCAGGTTTCGTAAGTGCACCTGTACCCCAATGCTTCCACGAAAAATGGCTCACAAAACGCAAAATGATCGGGCTTTTTAACACTTATTTATCTACATGGACATCTCACCTATATTTTTGAACACTTTCCGCAACTTTACACCATGTATTTATGCATTTATTCCTCAAAGTACTAGCACTACTTGCGTTTCGTTTTCAAATGTTGTTGTGTACACGCGTGACGTCACCCAAAATGTAGACAAAACACATGGGCAGCTATGATGCAGCCTATTACATTTCGGGTGACGTCACGCGTGTACACAACAGCATTTGAAAACGAAACGCAAGTAGTGCTAGCACTTTGAGGAATAAATGCATAAATACATGGTGTAACACTGTAAGGTTGTTGAAAGTGTTCAAAAAGATAGGTATGTAGATAAATAAGTGTTAAAAAGCCCGATCATTCTGTGTTTTGTGAGCATATAGCCACAAGCTCCCTTCTTGCTTAACACTACGTTGGCGAGAGGGTCACAAGCCGGCGCAATAGAATCGCGTTTGGCATGACCTGCTGCTATTAAACGTAAAATTATCTAACTTTTTATGATTCTAACCGCTTCTCTGTACTTCCACGCTGTTATATATCTCGT